CTTGTGAGATACATGTGTGTGTTCACCCATGTGCCTCCATTGATGCTTGAACCCATGTTCGCACACATACTAAGTGTGTGCTCTATCACCAAGCCCTCAGAAGTTTCTTTTCCCCAGAGAAATAGCATGTTTTTATTAATTGAATAAAACATCTGTAATATTTCCCCCTAAAATTTTAACTACATACACTTTTTATATTTTTGCTGAAAATTTCATGTAAGTTACACAGGTATTAATTGTAAGTCAGTGAATTTATGATAAATCTGTGTACTGTTAGAAGCACCACTCCAGCCAAGCTGTGTAAACTCTTCCTCTAACCACGAAAATTTTCTTGGTTGTCTTCCCAGTTTTCCCAACACCACTGAAATCAGACTTTTTTTGGTTTACTGTCACTATAGATTAGATTTGTCTTTTATGGAGTTTTATGTAAGGGAATCATGTGTTTTGGGGTCTGACTTTTACTCAGTGTAACGTTTATGAGATTAGTCCTTTTCTTTTTTCTTTTTTGAGACAGGGTCTCACTATGTAGTTGAGACTGACCTGGAACTCACTTTGTAGCTCAGGCTGGTCTCGAACTCACAGCAATCCTCCTGCCTCCACCTCCCGAGTGCTGGGATTACAGGCGTGCACCAACATGCCCAGCTGAGATTAGTCCTTTTCTGTATGTATCAGTAGGTTATTCTTTTTTTTTTTTTTTTTTGGTACCAGGGATCGAAATCTAGACCTTGTGCTTGCAAGGTTAGCAATGGCACCACTGAGCTAAATGCCCAGCCCCAGTAGGTTATTCTTGTTTCATTCAATTGAGTAAATATGCTGCACTTTGTTTTCTGTTCTCCTTTTAGTGGGCACTTGAGCTCTTTCTATCTTTATAAATGAAGTTATAAATATTTTGCTTACTGGTTATTCAGATACTTTCGTGAAGTAACCGTTTTTTCCACCCCACTACTGGGTGCTATATGAATCTAGCACTAAGCTATATGCCCAGCCCTTTGTTTTTGAAACAGGATCTTCTAAATTGCTAAATTTCTCACGCTTGGGCTGAAACTTGAGATCCTGCCTCAGCCTACTGTGATTACAGGCACTCAACACCATGCACAGCTAATATTTAGCCGTTTTTTAAAAGTTGTTTATTTTTTATTGTTGAGCGTTAGAACTCGACTGTTGAGTCCTGGTTGCCAGTTTTTTTGTCAAAGGTATGTGTTCTGAATTTTCTCACAGTCATTGGCTTGCCTCTTATGGTGTGTTTTAAGAAATTTCTAATTTTTTAGATGAAGTCCAGCCTATCAGTTTTTTTCTCCTCCTACCCCATGAGTATAAATATAGTATTCTAAATTTTTTCTCTAGAAGCTTTATAAGTTTTAGCTTTTAGGTTTTCAGTGTCTGATCCATCTCAGATTCTCACATGCACTGTGTGGCTATCTTTGGGTTCATTGATTGCACCTTACTTGTACTCAGACAGTTCAGTGTCCTTGTTGTACCTTTCCTTCCCACCATTGAATTACACGGGTATGTGTGTCAAAAGCCAGTCACCTGTAAGTGTGGTCTGTTTATGATGCTGCTGGCTGGCACAAAGCAGTGGGCAGCTACATCTGAGTTACTGATCACTACCTGAGTCCTCGTAGACAAGGACAAATGATAGGTGTCTTTCTCTTCACCAAGAGTAGGTCATACTCTTGATTATTGGACCTCTATATTACAAGTCTTAAAATCAGGTACAATTTTCTCTTTGTTTTTAATGTTTTAATTAGTGTAGATACTTTACATTTTAAAATAAATTTTAGAATCAACCTAACAGTTTCTATTAAAAAGAAGTCCGATATTTTGATCTGTATGTTACTGAAATGCAGTATTCATTTTAGTAAAACAAACATCTTGGGCTGGGGATTTAGCTCAGTGGTACCGCTGCCTGGCGTATAAGCACAAGAATCTGAGTTCGATCTCCGGAACAAAAAGCAAATGAACATGCTAACAATTTGAATCTTCTAGTTGGTAAACGTTGGGGTCTCCATTTATGCTTTTTAAGTTCTCAACAGTGTATTTTAGTTTCAGTGTATATTTCTTGCACATAGCTTCAAAGTTTATTTCTAGATACTTAATGTTTTTCAGTGCTGTTGTGAGTTTTATTCATTCTGATTGTTGCTAGAATATAAAAATACAGTTGATTCTTTTTAATATTGATCGCACATTCTGTCACTTATGAATAAGGACCTTTTAAAAACATCTTGTCCAACTTACTTGCCTTTTGTTTCCTCTTGCTTTATTTCAATGGTTTTGACCTCCAGTATTTTTCCCCCCTCCGGTACCAGGGATCGAACTCAGGACCATGCACTTGCCAGGCAGGCCTAGCGCCACTGAGCTACATCCCTGGCCCTGTCCTCCAGTATGTTTTAACTGAAGTGACCGGAAGGCATCTCCACCATGTTCTCACTATTTAACAAAATAGTATTAAGTCTTTCCCACAGAGTACGATGTTGGAAGTTTTTCACGTGCCCTTAATTAAGGAAGATACCTTTTATTCCTAGCTTGATGAGGTGTTTTGTTTTGTAGTGCTGGAGGTGAACAAGGGGCTTCACGCTTGCTGGTAGCTGAGCGGCGCTACCACTGAGCTACATTCCCAGCCCCCTTTTTTGAAATCTTGAAGCAGAGTCATGTTAAATGCCCAGGCTGAGCTTGAACTCATGATCTTCTGCCTCAGCCTCCCAAGTGCTGAGATTACAGGTGTGTGTCACCATGCCTGGCAGGTATAGTACTTACTAATTGTATAGTGGACATTATAAATTATACATTGGAGGAAATTAAATTCTTCTATTCATTTTTTAATTTTTTTTTGCAGTACCAGGGATCAAACTCAGGACCTTGCCCTTGCCAGGCGAGCATGGCGCCACTGAACTACATCCCTAGCCCCTAAATTCTTTTATTTTGTTTGTTTGTTTGTTTATTAATTTGGTTTTTTGAGACAGGGTCTCACTATGTAGTTGAGACTGACCTGGAACTCACCATGGTTGGTCTCAAACTCACAGTGATCCTCCTGTCTCAGCCTCCCAAGTGCTGAGATTACAGGTGTGTGTCCCCACATCTAGCCATAAATGTCTTTTTAAAAGTTTCATTAAAAAATATTTGTGTTATATACACACACATTAAATGTGGTATTGGTAATTAGAGAAGAAATATGGAACTGTGAACCAGATGTGTGTGAGTAGATTCAGAATGTTCTAATTTATTTTTTAATATGTGTTGAAATGATTTCACTTTAAATGATGATAATAAAGCTGTTCAGTTGATAAATTTTTAAAGTTTAACTTGTGTAAAAGGAAGTGTAATTTTGCGGGGGTGTTGAGACAAGGTCTCGTTATACAGTTCAGGCTGGGTTTAAACTCAATGTAAAGCCCAGGCTGGCCTTGAACTCTCAGCAGTCCTCCTGCCTCAGCCTCCCTAGTGCTAGGATCACAGTTGTACACCACTGTGTCCAGTTTAACTGCATTCTTGATTATTACTGCTTAGAAAAAAAGCAAAAAAAACCTACTGGTTATAAGATTGTTCTGTGTTTTAAGATTTCTCCTGAATTCCAAAAAAAGATACCTTTCTGAAACACTGTTCCTTGGATGAGCACATGCCTATAATTTCAGCTGTTCTTGGAGGCTGAGATAGGAGCAGGTTAAAGACCAGACTGGGCAAGTTAAGCAAGACCTGGTCTCAAAATAAACAATGGGCTGGAGGTGTTGCTCAGTGATAGAACGCTTACCTAACATGCAGGAGGCCCTGAGTTCAATGTCAGTTTTTTTAAAAAAGCAGAGTCTCAGAGGCTCTGGAATGGGACCTAGCAGTCTGTTTTAGCTGTCCTCCCAAGTGATCCTGAGGCAAAGTAAAGTTTGAGAACCATGATGTATATACTACTTGTAGAAATTTAACCTCGCACTCTGGGAGGCTGAGGCAGGAGGGTCACAAGTTCTAGGCCAGACTGGGTAACATAGTGACTTATTGAGAGCCTGTCTCAAAATAACAAAAAGGACCGGGCATAGCTCAGTGCAAGGGCTTTGGATTTAATTTCCAGCACACCCCCCCCCAAATACTGGCCAGTAATTAAATTTATACTGTAAAGTGTGAATGTAGTGCAACCAGTGTTTTAATGCATTTCATCTAGTTCTGTTTAAACTAGAATCGTCTCTTGAACAGGTCCCAGGCAGTCTTAAGAGAGATGCTTTCAAGGTCTGAAGAAGTGCTGCTTGGTCTCTTCTAAGTTTGGCTCTCAGTTTTGACCTACCCCTTCTTAATAGCACAAAAATCAAAGTTTAATATATCTGTACCAAGATTCTTTTAAAAGATTTCATGATTTGCTTTTTTTTTTCTGGATAATTTGAAAATTTTTATCCGTTGTTCTGCATAAGAAATTTGACCTCTTGTTCTTTTCAGGTTTTGTTTGTTTGTAGTGCTGGGAATGAAACCATCTTTTCAGGTCTTGATGTTTCTCAGGATTTAGAAGAAAAAGCTACAAAAATAAACCTCATCTCTGAACAGCAATTGTTGTCTTAAATAGAACTAACTTCTTAAAGTTGGCGTTTAAAAGATGCTCCATAAGCAGTGCTCCACCTCCCATACATATTCTGAAGCCACTGGTGTCTACATTATTTGTCCACAGGCGTGTATCATTGGCTTTGGGGTCTTCTCTTTCCCTCCCTCCCTCTCCCTCTGACTTCCTTCCTTCCTTCCTTCCTTCCTGTCCATCCTTCCTTCCTATGTAGTTCAGGCAGTCCTTGAACTCACTGTATAGCCCAGGCTGGCCTTGAACTCATCAATCCTGTTGCCTCAGCCTCCCAAGTACTGGGATTACAAGCATGTACCACCATGCCCAGCTGCCTTGTTTTTTACATCTCATAAATCTGGAATTTACAAATAGAATCTATTTCTATTGATTTTGAGAAATTAAATTGTATTTGACAGTGTATGTGACAATTTTTCAGTATCTCAAAAGCCTGAATGTTTCTAAAAAATTCTCTTTATAGACGTACAACAGCTGTGCCAGACTCTGCTTAAACCAAGAAACAGTATGTCTAGCAAGTACTGCTATGAAGACTGAAAATTGTGTGGCCAAAGTAAGTAATATTATTCTCCAGTGTGTGTCACACGACATCGTAACAGTGTGATGTCTGAGGCGTCTTTACTCAGTATTGGACTATATTGCAGAAAAGAATACACTTATCATTTTGTGCAGAGCATATTGCATGTTGGAATTTCCATAAGTTCCTTCATGGTTTTTAAATGTAATTAAGTATACAGTACCAATTCAAAAGTAAAAAGGAAGGCATTGCAAGGTTGTGGAATATGCAAAATTTAATATTGTGTCACTACTATTTATTGAGTGGCTAATGTTAGAAATATTTCTTTTGGTGATCTTGAGCTGAGAGAGCAAGTATGTTTAGTCATGCACGTGGGCTACCCCTTTCATGTATAAATATGTGCCTTGTCTGTAGCCTAACACACAGATAATTTTAAGTACTAGAGATCTGCAGCTTTTTCAGTCAGCTTTGACTTAGATTTTCTAAGTGTCTGTACTTAAGAGCATTGAATTAAATTCCAGTGTCAGCCACTTTGATTATTGTAGGAGTAAGTGATACTCAGTATGGGCTCGATTTCTAGACTTTTACTTTACTTACCTGCAAAAATAAAACCTGTGCTAGGGATTTGTCACTTACAACTTTCCCAACTTTATTTTAGTCTACTGTTTCATACACACAGGCCCTCGAATTACTTACTGTTGTTCTTATAACAATAGAGATGGGACTGGTGTCATGTACTCTTCATCTTTGCTACAAAATTGGTGGACAGCTGTCTTTGTCTTTTCAGATTGCTAGAACAAAAATATCAAACTGAGTGTCTTATAAACAATAGATTTTTTTTTTTTTTCTTGCAGACAGGGTCTTGCTCTGTAAGTCAGGCTGGCCTTGAACTCCCAGCCTCTGGCTTCAGCTTCCCAAATGCTGGGATTATAGGCGTCCATTACCATGCCTGGCTGAACAATAGTAATTTATTTCTTAGTTCATAGTAATTTCTAGTTCTTATAGTAATTTTATAGTTCCAAGATCTAGGTGCTAATAGATTGGTATCCAGTGAGAGTTCATTCTGCTTCCAGATGGAGCTTCTTGTTGTACCCTACATGATGGAAGGGGTGGGTGGGGCCTGTTCAGGGACACAGGCTCTCTTTTTGAAGGCTCTGTCCTTAAGAATTCCAGGGGAATATATAAACATGCAAACTGTAGTAACAGCAGTATTTTGTATTATTTCCATTTCTTAAAATCTGCAGGAGTCTCTGGGCCCACTTTATTCACTAAAAACAAAATACAGACATTGGGGTGATCCACATAAGAAACACTAGAATTTACTATTATAAAGGGTGGAGTCTATCAGTGTCTTAAATTCAGACCTTAATAATTTGCTGCAGAATGTGTTTTATATTTACTCTTCAGTCATTTAGTCAAAACTAGTGCTAACTGACCATTTTTTAATTTTTAATTTTTAATTTTTATTAGTACACGTTTGCATACACACTAGTTACATTCCTCCTGGAAAATTGATAGGCCTGTGTGTAACACATCTTATTCTTTTTATGTTCCTTAATCCTCCCCTTGGCCCTGCTGAATATGCAGCATTTGTGTATGGATACATGGATGCAGTTATTTGGGCTTTAAAAAAATAATTTTTCTCCCTTCTGGGCTGTCACTTTCATCACAAGTGGTGACTTCTGGCTAAACAAGGCAAGATCTTACCATGCACACCAATCCAAGGCCGGGGACAATTTTAATGAGTTTTATTGAGAGGCGGCCAAGTGAGCATCTGCTCCTTTTGTTTCCCCACACTCGTAAGCCAGGCTCTCTAAGCTACGAAGTTATGTTGGGGTGTGTGCAGTGTGGGGTGCGTTTGCACCTTCCTCTCCCTCGGCTTCAGTGGCATATAGTTAGAAACCCGCTGGCATCTGGCACCGTGTGTAATTGTTTCCATGCTCTGTGGTGAGGAAGAAGTTTGCTCATCGCACCTTATCAGTCTGTTCCACTTGCTCCCAAATGCTGACCCTCTCATCAGTCTTGCTTATTTTAACGTTGTTCTGTTACCTGTTTCCTTTTGTTGTCCTTTAAGTACTCCAGTAATGGTTTCTCTAATTTACTATTGGAATCCACCTAACTTCTGTTTCTTATTGGTCCACGTCCTGTCTTTCAGTTTGTTGCTTTCAGATTTGGACCAAATAATCAGTTGATCAATGGCAAATCAAAATGTATAGTCAAAAATTATTTATTGTAACAGCTTCCCGTAATATATCAGTAGCATAGGAAGAGTAAAAGTATTTTCCTTTTTTATTTACATGTGTTACATTGTCTTGTGATTTTTTTTTTTACTGTTTCTCTTGTCCTCATTTATTACTTAACCTTTGAAAAAAATGACTTTTTTTAGATCTGCAAGCTTATCCCTATTTCCTGTACTTCACCTTTAACCCTTCACTGAATAATTTCATTTGCTACATTGATAGGGCTGCAGTGATTTTTTTTTTTTAATAAAACTTGGTACAAGTGTCTTTTGTTGATTTGGATTGTGCCCAGTGTAGCCTGAATGTCCAACTATCTCCACGTAAGAACTGTAAGGTAATGATAATGACATTTTTTTTATCCTGTAGTTCAAAGCAACAGAATTCTGATTTGAGTGATTTTGGTTTGTGTAGAGATACTTACGATCCAAAATCTTATTATTGAATTTTGTTTAAATGAGTTTTAGAGAAGATGTTAATACTATTTCCTTAAGAAAGCAGAAAACTTCTATTTGAACACCTTTTGTATGTAGTATGTAATTCTCCATTGCCAGAAATACTAGTCTTACAATTGCTCTACAAAAGAGACATCTGTGAGTCTGCTTTAGAATATAAGAAAACAGTGTAAGATAAACTACAGCTATTCTAGGTTGACAGTATTCTGAATCTGTAACATGGAGAAAGAGACCTATTTCTTAGAAGTGAAAACAAGGAGGGGGTCATTTTATCATTATAATTTAATCCAGCTAATATTTGGAGGCAATTTGAAATGTCTTTTTCTTCTTCAAAAGACTTTCTTCTTAAAGGTGTAGAAGTGGGAAGGGTAGGGAAAAGGAAATAAGGGAAAAGAAAAAATATGAGAAAAGGGAAAAAATGGGAAAAAGTCTTTGTAAATAGGGGAGGGGGGCGTGAAGGGAGAACAGGGGTATGGGGAAAAAATAAGAACCAAGATCTGTCATGTAAAGGTACAGGATCCCAGTGATGAATGGAACTGTACTGTATACTTAAAAAGTACCAGTAAAGTCAATAAAAAAGAAAAAGTATATCTAAAAATAAAAAAAGACTTTCTTCTTCTTATGGCCCTGTAGTTTATGAGATTTGTGTCTGGGCATGATAAGCTTTGTGTTTATTGTAGCTTTAAATGGGCAGTCATTATTGACTATCAGCTTAGTCTTTAAAATCCACAATCTTGTTACCTAATTGTCAGCCTTTGTGATTTTTTTTTTTTTTTTTTTTTTTTTTTTTTTTTTTTT